ACCAGTTTACTTATCTTTGTTGAATTATTGGATCCAAGTGTACTACTTCATCTCACGCCCCTCCCCTCCCTCTTCCCTTGTCTTTCCCACCCCCTCCTCCATGGCAGCAACCTGGTTATGCATTTGATCGGGAGAGGGAGGGGGACCTGGCAGACAGATGTTTGTACAGCGTGGCCTTGCCTGGTGGTGTTGTTGTATTTGCGGATCCGGCGATACGCTCGGGTAAACCAGAAAATTTACATCTGGAAAAGCCTAGTGATGATGAGGTGATGGGTGGATTCTGGAGGGAGAGAGAGGGGGGGGTCCTCGGTGATAGTGAAGGAGAGTTAGTTAGGGGACGATCGGAGACGAAAACCCGACCAGCTCAGTAAGTCGGATACCAGAGTAGCAGTAGAGTAACAGTTGGATCGGGAGAGGAAGATGACAGGAACGAACGGGGAGGCTTCGAGAAGAAAGTTGGGCTGTGCGTCTGCAGTAGTGGATGCCGTGAGATGAATCGAGTAGTGCTCCAGCCTGCTTGCGGTGGACTATGAAGAAATCAAGGCGTTATCTGAGGAATCAGATAGATAGCGATTATTGTAGTGTTTAGTTTACAAGTCAGTTTCCGGTTATTTCCTACGAATCTCTTTACGTTTTGAGTTTCTTAGTAGGGTTGATTCCCGATCGGAGTCATTCTCCCCCAATATCTACTATTACTACTACTTTGTATCTCCCAACGGGAATATACTACTGACTGACTAAACCACCTAGTAACAATGCTCGTCTCATCTTTAATTACTACTACTACTATTCTCATCCATCCATCAGGCACTCACTGTCAGGCCGCCGTGCATCTCCACTGGCTCAAAGACGGCGGCTGTGATTGCGGTTCCAGATTCGCTGTCTCGCCATGGCCCAGAGAGACTTGACTAGACTCCTCCATACTTAGTACGTAGTATCTAGTAGTTTTTCGCATCATCCTTCGTGCTTTAGTCCGTTTGAGGTTTCCATTGGTTTGAGGGTTATTTTCCTACGCAAGGATCCGATTGTGCGTTCGCCGTTTCTTCCATCGGTCTTCCATTGGGCCTGTTCCATTCTGGCCCAGTCCTGCCAATCTCTTTCCCTCTTTCTCTCTCACGCACACACTCTCTCTTGTGACAACTAACTAACTATTACTTGCTTGCTATTATTCATTCCATCTTCATCCTCTCACATCTTCTCTCCCTCTCACTCTCTCTTGCTCCATCCCTGCATCTCGTGGGCGGTGAATTCACCAACACTTTCCTCACCTCCTCTTTCACCATCTTCTCTTACAACTACTAGTCTCCTCTCCTCTCCTCTCCCTCTCTCTACCACCCCCATTTATGGATCAACTGATCGACTGGCTGCGATACTAATCCAATTCTCGGCCTTTCCTTTCCTATTCCTTCAGCCCAACCAGCCTTGCAGCCGGGTGTCACCTACGACCAAGTTAGTCGGTTTACTATCGACTCATCCTCGCCCCCATTCGTCGTATTCCGCTTCCTCGTCATCCTTATTTGTCCTGCGCGTCTCTCTATGCCCTCTCTATCCCACTGCATTGTCACTCCCTCTGCCTTTGATCCCCATTAGTAGCAACCTGACAACGACAGCAACAACACCAACACCACCACCATTACCTCCACTACCCCAGGTCATAAGAACAAGATCAAATTACATCCCCGACCATCATCTTGTCACTGTGCGCCCAGTGGGACTCGGTTTGACTGGGCAAAGCAGTGCCTGGACAACACAAACTCGGGTTCTCACCGACTTCTTCAGGGAGATTCATTTCTATTTATTTATATCATTGAATCCGATTTTAAAGTTTTTTTCCTTTTATTTTTCTCTTTCGTTAACTTGATTTTCTTTATTGCTTATTGGTCTACTTCAGCAGAATTTCTCATTTTTTGTTTTCTTTGCTTTTGATTCCCTGCTTTCTTTTTCTTCTTCCCCTTTCGCTCGTCTCATTCAACAGGGCTTAAATCTAATACCCATAATTATTCCTGTTATTTCCTTTCCCTCTTCGCCAAACCTGTGAGAGACCTCGCACAGGGTTACAGTCACTGCTGACCGCAAGAATTTCGTCGCAATTCTTATGGACATCGCCGTTTCATCCCCCTCGGGTGTTCCAGTCGTTCTCCGTACGACAATTTAGCGACCGTGTCGATCCGTATGGCCATCTCCATTGCCGACAGTTCCTGTAGCCCGACGAGGTCGCTCGGTCTGTTGTTGGACCCGGAGAAGGTTGACCTTCCCCGTCCCAAGCAGAGCATGTGGCATCGCCTGGGCCTTCGCAGGTGGCTGGGCCGCGATGATCGAGATTTCTCCTCACATTCCCCCGCTGGCGACGCTGCCCCCACCGCAAATAAACCCAATTCTCCAGCCGCCCACAACGAGCATAATGGTAATCAGAACAGTAACAACCACCACCACCACAACTCACCCCCCAACGGCAAGAACACCAACAACAAGCCGCACCACAGCAACAACAAAGCCCACGATAATCTCAAGCGTCGCCTGTCCAGAAAGGTAGGAGTTGGTCTGCCGCGAGCCACTACCTTTAAACGACAGAATTCCGAGCGGCGAGACAATCTATCACCCCTAGAACCCGAGCCCCGTCGTGCAGTGTCTGCCGACCGTCGTCGCGCCGTGAGCTCCCACCGGTCCAGATCCCCACCGCCCACCGTGGACCCCAGACTGTCCGCTCCCGAGGTTCAGTGGCGCGAAGACCCGAGCGAGACCACGGTCGAGCGACTGCCTGAGGCGAATGAGGACAGCGACTTTCTCTCGGAATGGAACCCCTGTCCTGACGTGGCGGAAGCTCCCGAGGAGCTACCGGACGATACGCTCGAGATGGAACTGGAAAAGCGATGGATTTTGAACTTGAGCATGCATTTTCGGGATCGCTCGGAGCGGGAAAAGTTTTTCGTCACATATGCTGAGACTCCGACTCGGTGGCGGAGAGTCACCATATCCTGCGACTACCGCGGTGCGCCCCCGGATTCCCTGGAACAAGACCTGAGGGAATTGCGGTATCAGCGAGACAAGTGTGCCCGAATTTACGAGTCGATTCGCGAGTCGCTGTCAGAGATTCAGTTTTACGACACAGTCACCAACTTGAAGCTGGAAACTCGCGATGGCCGCCTGCATGTGCACGTTACCGAGGATGTCAACGAAATCATTCCCTATCCGCCTGTTTCTTGTATCGGACATTTGCCACAGGCACGACTGGTCCCGGAGAACCAGCTCCATTTCGACGCGCATCTATCCGGCTTCGTCTACAACGTCCAGTTAGATGGCAAGGCATACATCAAGAAGGAGATTCCTGGGCCCGACACAGTAGATGAGTTTCTGTACGAGATCAACGCGCTTCACGCCTTACAGGGCACCCCTTATGTTGTCCGGGTAGAAGGAATCGTGGTCGACGACCTGCAGCAGGTGGTCAAGGGTCTTCTCATTAGCTATGCAGAGAAGGGAGCTTTGGTCGACATTCTCTACGAGAACCGTGGCATGATTTCCTGGGAGCGGCGGGAACGCTGGGCCAGGCAGATCGTCCACGGTCTTTGTGAGATCCACGAGGCTGGCTACGTACAAGGAGACTTTACTCTTTCCAACATTGTTGTTGATGCCGACGACAATGCCAAGATCATTGATATCAATCGCCGGGGCTGTCCGGTAGGATGGGAACCTCCTGAGATTGCGGCGAAAATCGAGAGTAATCAGCGAATATCGATGTATATTGGAGTGAAGACGGATCTGTTTCAGCTAGGCATGACATTGTGGGCTCTGGCAATGGAGGAAGATGAGCCAGAACGACAGCCTCGTCCTCTAATGATTCCACCGGACGCACGGGTACCGGACTACTACCGTAGGTTGGTCTCTATCTGTTTGAGTGCCACCCCCCGACACCGGCTGTCGGCCAAGGAACTTCTAGGCTTTTTCCCCCGAAATATGTGGATGACCGAGCAGTCGTTTCCTCCGATACGTCCTGCACAGACAGGCCTCGGCGTCGCCTTACAGAACGGCGCTTGGCCACTGTACGATCCTCGAGCGGCTTTTCTGTCTCACCACACGCAGCCTGTAGTCAATGGGGCGTCTTTCGACACTCAGTTATCGCTGGATGATACATACTCATTACAGCATGACGGCAGTGACTTTGCTTCTTCTCCAGATAGAGAACATTACATCATGTCCAGGGAGCAGCAAGCCGGGGTGGCTAGGACAGCGGAGCACGAACTGCTCGAAAGGGAGCCCCTAATAGCAGCCCAGCGCAGAGTAAACGCAGTCACCTACTCACCAATGGCTAATGGAGTCTTGCCTCAGACAACTCTGAGAGGCTCTCATGCAGTACACAACACCGTTCCAAGCTATATGGAGGACGAGCCTGATTTGGTCGCCAACGCTCATCCTCCTTATCCGCGACGAACAATGGACGGTGCAGTTGATCAAATCTCCTGTGAAGCGGATCATTTGCCGAAAGAAGTTGCCGGTGTAGAGGGGCATCTATCGCCATCATTGAATCGCTATTCATCCAACAACCTATCAGAAATGGGACGGTCTCAAGAATCTCCAATGTCATCAGCAGATACCCAATCAATGGATTTATGCCCAGCTCACCTGACGGACCTGGGACAGGCGCTGATTGACAACCAACATTGGCCGATGGAAGCGCCGTCGCGTTCCGTTTCTTCACTTCTTCACTCGATACTACCGATTAATCCTGCAGCCAATGTCACCGACCAGAAAATGATAGACTCAGACGCAGACCGATTCTCGCATCTGAGTATGAGTTCCACCTTGGGATACCCTCACCAAGGCCTCCAAGAACCCACGACCTATTTGAGCGAATCTCATTTACCCATCAATCCAGCATTTACAGAAGACGCCTTAGGCGTTCATATGACAGGAAGGGAGTGTTGAGCCATTGCAGGATGTGCCACTTGTTCATAGTAGTCATCCATGACTTTCGAGCCATGGGGACCGAACAGTGCCACTCCTGCTATTTTCACTGTACAGTTAGTTCTTTTGAAGCGTTGCTCTACGGAGTATTCAGCGGGCATCATGGCGAATATGGAGTTGGATGATTTCGGGGTTTGCTTTTTTTCTTTCATCTTTGTTTTATCTTGGCTTGATCTACCACACGCTGATCATCCCCTCAAAAGCCCTCACGCAGGTTTCACCACTGCAGTTGCGATTACAGTCTCGGGAACCCAGTTGCCATCAGAGCAGTGGGGATATTTCTGGACATGGCGTTTTGTTTTTCGTTTCGCTTTTTGCTTTCTGCCTGCCTATTACTTACCTGCCCACTAACGACTTACGACCGGATGGATATTGTGACTTTTTGAACTTTGCGCCGTTTCACTCTTGTACACTGGTTTGTTAATACTATTCTAAGCAGCAACTGTATTAATCTGAAAGGATGAATTATTTGATTGGCCTCTCTTCCCACATAAATAATACATCGTCTCTAGTAGTAGTAGTAGTAGTATGCAACTGTAATACTCTATCTACTCTTCTCTTCATACATACATTCATCATCATCGTCATCGTTACAAATACCCTCATCAATAAATCAATCAACTACTTCGTAGAAGTACTCTACCGACCCAACCACTCCTCCAAACTCCTCTGCCACGCCCTCCCCCCATCATCACCACCCAACCCCCGTCCAATCAAAACAATCTTACACTGATTCTTCCCATCCGCCGGCTCCGAATCCCTAATCTCAAAAACATCCCGCACTGCCTGAATAATCTTCGTCGACCCATCACTCAGCACCAGAATCCCCTTTAACCGATGGATATCGAATCCCGTCGGCCCAGATACTTCCTCCGCAAGCGGCATCACAGAGTCCCAGAGGACGGATTGAAGCCAGGTGTCCACGCGGGATACTTGGGCCGGGGTGATGGGAGGTGTAGTGAGGGCGATGGTTGAAATGGACTGCGAGTAATAATAATCCATCAGTTGAAACAATCCTAGCTTTTGGACGAAACCAAAGGAAGTGAGGGAAACGAGGTCTATACCGGATCCATATGACTATGTCCCTTCTGAGCAAAATCCAACGAATCCAAATGATCATACGCATGCAAATCCAGCACCACGCCCTCTATCTTCGGCGTTTTGCTATGGTCAGTGATATGGATTTTAGCTGCGCTGTTGATGGCCGTCACCCGGTCTTGGACTGTGGCGAGTTCGTCCGCGGTTACGAGGTCGGCTTTGTTGATGATGATTACGTCGGCGTGCGAGATTTGCATGTGTGCCATGGAGAGGACGGGGCCGGTGTGCGTGTGCGTGTGGTTGGATTCGGTTTCGGTTTCTGCTTCTGCACCACCGTGGCTAGAGACTGTTTCTTCGGGAGTGGGCTCGTCGAGCAGGTGCAGGATGTGTTTTGCGTCGACCAGTGTGACGATTCCGTCTAGGTAGATGCTGCTTCCTAGGTTATCGTCGACCCAGAAGACTGGGGCGATGTTGCCTGGGTCGGCGAGCCCGGTCGTTTCAAGCAGGATGTAGTCGAAGGCGCCGCGGCGTTCCATTAGGGATTCGATGGCCATGACGCCGTTGTCTCTGTAGTTGGGTTAGATGGGTGGGTCGTTGGGTAGGGAGGAAATGGGGGTTTACTTGACGGAGCAGCAGATGCAGCCATTGCCGACTTCCATCCATTCGGTCACTTCTTGACCGTCTTGGTTGACGGTTAGGGGTTTCTCGATGTCGGTTGCTAGGTGGGTGTTAATTTGGTTGTTTGTTGTTCATATAGTGAGAGGTAAAGTGTGTAGGTTGTCTTACAGTCACCGAACTCTACATTATCTTAGCAATGTGATAATTTTGTGGTCTATAGTAATGGTCACTCACCGTTCATGATCACGGCAATCTTCTTGCCATGCTTCTCGGTGAGGATATAGTTGAGGAGGGTGGTCTTGCCGGCTCCCAGATAGCCTGACACGAGGGGACATGTTAGTTAATGTGGATCTACGGGATATTTTCTTTTCTTTTCTGCTGCTGGTCTACAAAGCAGATGGATCTGCATGTGTGGCATCACATCATACCAGTCACAAGCGTGATGGGCACGCGGTTCTGAGGCGGCGTGTCTAGTGACGTCGATGGCGGGGCCACATCGGGGGCGGTCGAGATGTCAACCAGCTGGGGTGGGGCATCGTCGTCGTCCATATTGAACGCTGTGATTTTTGCAAGCTGGGGAGAAAAATGACCGGAGTATAAACTAGAATAGTTAGAATGCCAGATGAATGCTAAGATATGGAGAATGTCGGGGAATGACGTTACCCCAACAGGAACCGCTAGGGCTTAGGGCACCGGCAGTCATTTGGCAGCAATGCAAACCAGACAATCGCGGCCAGTCCCCGTCCGGCCAGCTCCATCTTATCTCCTCATTTCAGCTTGTTGTTGTTCTTCTCCAATTCCCTTTCGTCTCTCCTTTACATTCCTCCTCTTCATTCCCTTCTTTCTTTCTGTTTTCACTCATTTGAGACTCTGCGAATCCTCTCGCTATGGCTACTGCGGGAGTCTCGCAGGCCACCTCTCCACGTCTGCCTAGTCCGCCCCCGTTCACGGAGGTCCAGATCGGGCCCAAGTCACCCTCGGTCGGCGAGTCCTTTGACCACGAGACGGAGCAATTGCTGGGCGCTTCACAAACATCGGAGGATGGCTCAACCAGGAGGATTCGTCCGGGTACTAGAGCTGGGGATATGGCTGTTGGACCGCCTCTGATCCCTCTCTCTCAGGTACGGTTTGCGTAAACGAAGCACAGCTGTCTCCGAGTAGCTCCGCTGACCCAGCCACCCCTTTCTGCGATAGCTTGATTCCCCCTTCCAACTCCAAGAACACCTCAAGGCTCTCTACAATCATTACACACGGCCCGAAGGCTCTGATACAGTTGTTCCCATCAATCGGGATGTCGCCATGCAGCTCGCAGAACCCCCGGACGGCGTCGACCGGTCGCTATGGCTCTACGAGCTGTGTCGCTTCCTGACTATGAAAGTCAACAATCTCATCATCGCCTTCTTCGCCGACTCTCCTCCCTGCTCCTCCCAGACTTGCCCCGAGATGCGGGCATCCGAGTGGCAGTACCTCTGTGCCGTGCACGATCCGCCCAAATCCTGCTGCGCCATCGACTATTGCTGCCATACCCTCGATTGGGCCACGAATATCCTTACGTCGCCTAAATACTTTCCCAGCCGACTGACTCTCGGTTCGGAGACGGGCGGCGGCGCACAGGCCAGCATGAGACATTTGACCAACATCTTCCGACGGCTGTATCGCATCTTTGCGCACGCCTGGTTCCAACACCGGGAGGTGTTCTGGCAGGTGGAGGGACATGACGGGCTATATATCTTCTTCAAGACGGTCTGCGACATGTACAGTCTCATTCCGGAGGATAATTACACGGTTCCTGCGGAGGCGGAGGGCGTGGATGTTCAGCAGCCGGCCGCGCCGGAGCACACGGACAATCGTCGGATGACCATCTTGCGCAAGGAGAACGAGCCGTTGTCGCTGGAGAGTATGGAGCCAGCGTCGATCAGCACGGGAGCAACCACGAGGCGTCACAAAAATAGCCCGTCGATCAGCTCGAGCGTGACGACCATCAACGAGGGCGCAGAGGACGACGAGCAGCCGAGGCAGCAGGCTGTAGCGGCGGCAACGGCTGCGGTTGCAGCTGCGAATGCCGCGGCGGCTGCTTCCGCTCCTGCTCCTGCTCCTGCCCCTGTTCCCACCCCTGTCCCTGCACCGAAGGAGGCCGAGCCAACGCCAGCGGCCGAGGAGCAGCAAAAGTCTGAGCCGGAGCCGGAGCCGGAGCCGGAGCCTTCCGTTGACGACAACGGATCTAAGATCACTGTTTCGGAGGTACACGCCGACGATGACGAGGCTACCCAGGAGTCAGTAGAGAAGCCGGAAGAGAAATCAGAGGAGAAGCCAGAGACAGCGGAGCCCGAGGCCGAGCCCAAGGCTGAGGCTGAGGCGGAAGAGCCGGCCAAGCCTGAAAGCGAAGCCCCCGCAGAGACGGAGGCGAAGCCCGAGGTAGAGGCAGAAACACAGCAACCGAGCGAGCAAATTAGCGAACAGGAAGCGCCAGCGCAGGAAGCAGCGCAGGAGGCGTAGCGACGAGCAGATCCCTTTCTACTGATTTCTTTTTTGACATGATACATGATGGCATGTGTCGATATCACGGTTGTAATATGTGAGCATGTTTGTGGGGAAGGCTCTGATGTAATATACGAGCGAGTAATGATACCCTTATGAGTGGATTGGACTGCTATGTCTGTAGTTTAGATGTAGATGTAGATGGTGGTTGTAAACGATGAATGGTATGGTATCTCCGCCTAACTCCGATGATGTCAACAGCGATGTTTCCTCCACCGGAAGTAGTTCCACCTCATCTTCATCTTCAACACAACCAACTATCCTTCTTCTACAATCAATTGCACATACCACCAACCCATACACTATACACATACATATATACCCTCAAATAACCTCCCACATATATACATACATGTCCACCCCGGCCCCACCCCAACAACACCAACACCAACAATGTCCATCCCAACCACCATAACCCAAATCCTCAAAGCCGGACCCATCCACTTCGGTCCCTTTACCGTCACAACCCAGGTACACCCTCCCCCACCCTCAAACCCATATATACATACCCACCCCTCAAACACTTACTAAAAGATGGAAAAAAAATAGGTCTTCCACCTAACTCCCTACAGCTACGCCCTCGTAAACCTAAAACCCATCCTCCCAGGCCACGTCCTCATCTCCCCCCGACGGGTCGTTCCCCGCGTGACAGACCTCACCCCGACCGAGACCTCAGATCTATTCCTGACCGTGCGGCGCGTAGCGCGCATGATCGAGCGTGTATATGGAGCGTCGAGTCTAAATATCGCTATCCAGGATGGCGCGGATGCGGGCCAGAGCGTGCCGCATGTTCATGCGCATGTGATACCCAGGAAGAGGGGGGATTTGGATAGTAGGGGTGGGATGGATGCGGTTTATGAGATGTTGGATGGGGAGGAGGGCGATTTGAGGGATGTTTTTGCCAAGGATGGTGAGGAGGGGAGGAGGAGGAGGTTTCCGAGGGTGGATAATGAGGACAGGGTGGCTAGGTCCGCGGAGGAGATGGAGGAAGAGGCGTGGAGGTTGGCGGGGGAGATGGAGAAGGAGGATTTAGATTAGAGAGTGTGTATATTATGTATGTATGCTGTGTTGTACTTGTATAGAGGGCATGTATGTATGTGTAGGTCTATTGGAGCTATTATCTAAAGTAAACACTCCCCCAACGCCTCGCACGGAGTGTAATGTAATATGCACAGCATCCGTATCATGGAAAAGAAATAAATGAACAAGACCCGAAAACCCCCATTCTCGTACCATCCACGGTCGTAATCATCACTTTAACGCCGTACTCTTTATCGTACTATGTGCCACGTCTGATCATGCTCATGCTTATGCCGTCGCCTTGCTCTTCCAGAATTTCTCGCGCTCCTGCAGCACCGTGGCCGCCCATTCCTTCGTCTCCGGCAACTGCACCTTGTTCGCAACGTGGCAGAACTCCGTGAGATCGATGTTGTTGGCGCGCTCGTACTCCACCATCTGCAACAGCAGCTCCATCTTGTCGACGTCGTGGACGAACTGTGCCTCCAGAGTCTCGTTGGCCTCGTACTCGTTAAACACCTTCAGGATCTCCTGTCCGGTCAACATGCCACCGGGAACGCCGCCCAGGAGGTTGTTGGCAATGTAGTCCATGACGGCGGCCTCGCGACGCGCCTTCTCGGTCTTGTCGACCCGGTCGACGGGGGTGATGTCGCCGACGAGGGATTCGGCCATGTCGTGGATCAGGGCCATCTTCATGCAGTGGGGCAGGTTGAGGCGGGAGGCCAGGGTTGGCGGCGCGAGCATGGTCATCACCGACATGCGGTACATGTGGTCGGAGATGGATTCGCCGGAGTTAATGCCGAAGCGGCGCCATCCTTCACGCTTGGTGGTCTTGAGACGTTCGAGGAGGTGGAAGAAGGGAATCGGAGAGGCGGAGTTCTCCTCTGGGGGGTGAGGGAGGCTTGCCAGGACTGGTGCAGGAGCTAAATGTTAGCTAGTGCATGAGAATGGTGGAGGAGGGGTTAGATTCTGCTCACCGGACTGGGTGGTCCAGAGGGGATTGGAGGGGTTTTCGGAGCCCATGTTGTCAAGGGAGGTCTGGAGGGGAGAGTGGAAGAGAGGAGTCAAGGTAGAGAAAGGGAAATCAAACACGATGAGCACGAACAGCAGAGGAGAAGAAAAAGAAAAGAAAGCGAAGAGGAGAAGGAACCGGAGGAGAAAGAGAAACTGCGGGGAGAGAAAAAGCGGTCGAGCGGATTGGTTGGTTCCAGCCAGCCAGCGGATCCATCCATTACTTGCTGCTCTTCATTGTTGATCTCCAGCTCTCCGTTGTTGTTACTCCCTCTCGTCCCTGCAGTTCCTCGACTGGTCCCTCTGTTCAGGTATGTTTCAGTAATTAGAATGCTATACTACTTTTCTCTCTAACCAAGCATCAGATGTACCATGCAGTCACGAACCCCTCGCCCCAAACCCCCGAACTGGTCCCCTCAGCCTCCCCTCTCCGTTTTCGTCCGCAACCTCCAACTCCTCCAGCTCGATCGCCATGATGACTGGCCTCACATCTCTCTCCGCTCCCTCGCAGATACATCGCAGAACCAGCGTCAGCGTATAAGGTCTATAGAATGGGCTCTTTATCACCTGGTTACCCTCTGGGACCCCGACACCGCCCGGGATGTATGTTCCATCCCCTCAGTGGCTTTGATGCCCGACTGACGGCATGCAGAAACTCCGGCCCTTCTTCCCTCCGCTTGAGCCCCTGCAGTCCGTCAATCTTCGTGCTGCTTTATTCCGTGTGCTCTCCGAATTGAAGAAACAGGGCGAGCTCGGCAGAGAAACCATTCTTCGCAAGTCAATGCTGGATGATTGCAAAGGCGAGAAATTCGAGGAACTATTGGCCGTCTTCTCTACTGCGGTGCTGCGGAAGACCCTCGCCGCTTCCTCAGATCCGGCACTACAAAATGTGGCCATGAAGCTTTCATTGGCTTCCGGGCTGACGCGCGAGGAATACCAGCTCATGCTCCCCCTCGTCCTTGCCCATCGGGTCTCCCTAAACCAAATCGGCGAGCGTCGCAACAAAGCACGGGACACCCATGAAAAGTTTACCCAGTTGCTAGAACTTAAAAAGCTGCAGCTTGATGAACGAGCTAAGGAGAACCCTCCCCAACTCCCCGACACTGGCGCCGACATAGATGCGCTGGCTCGCGACCTTAGGGCTAACTGGCTGGGGGGTGAGGACTGGGCGGATACCCTTGTCGACGGTGGTGCGCGGGGCAGCAGCGACGCTTTTCTAGAACTGCCGTTCGACATCGCATGGGCGAAAGCAAAGGAATCCAGCGTGGATGGTCTCCGTGCGAATTCATCACCGGATCTGCTAGTCGATCTGGAGTCTCGCGTCTTCCGCCAACGTGCCCGGCTGCAGCGCTGGCGCCAGTACAGTGCCTCTATGCGCAAACATGAGCGGGTACAATCCACAAGCTCAACCAAATCTCAACCGCTTGTCTTCCGAGAGCACCAAGCACTCACCGTCGCCAGCATCTCCAAAGCCGTCCGGCAGCCAGTGGAACGCGCCTCGCCCAAAGCAGACGACCGGGCGTTGCTCTTCTCCATGAATGAGGCCATTGCACGGATCAACGGCCGACCCGCAGCGCATCGTCATCGCCACACTCATAGCGAATCGAAATTACGCAACCCTGCAACAGTATCCTCCAGCTCAGCGGCCGGGAGCAACAGATCATCTCCCCAAGCCGAAGACACTACCCGCTCAACCACCACTAGAACCTCAACACCCTCCATCCCAGAGCCCCAGCCCAGCGTGCCCTCATTCTCAACCACCGAAGTCCCCGAAAAGGACCCTTCTCCCCCTCCTGAACGAACTAGCCGGTTCACACTCGTAGAACGAACCCGCAAGTCCATGTCCCTCATCGTACCACCCACCCAACCCAGACCAAGAGAAAGTTTCCGGTCCCACCGACCTCGGCCTTCTTACCCCATCAACCAGTTCGAGACGCCTCAAAGATCACACACCATCCCCAGTCGGGCCTCTACGCCACGCGACGAGCTCTTTGACGAGGAAGCGGACTACGCCAGCGTATTCAAGTCGCGGCCGCGTGTGGCGCACAGTCCGGTCGCCTCTCCCGCAGTACACATCAGCCCCATTGGGGATTTCGACCTGAGTCCGGACGAGGAAATCGACCTGGATGGGGGAGACGAGGAGTATGTGCAGGATACTCCGTTGGTGTCGAGACGGAGGATATTATGATTGTTACGTCGGTTCATGTTTCGTTTTGTCTTCATCTAATTCTTATGTGTGATGTTCTTTTGGGAGACGATTCTACTTACCTCCCTTATATGCCTATACCTACTACATACGATTAATGTCTATAGATTCTGGAAGAAAGCAGTACACGACACAGCAATTGATTATTATTTTAGTGAAGTATGAGTACACCATTATCGTGCTTTTTGCCATCCCTATCATTGTCATTATTATCATCCAGTACCTCCGTCCCTGTGCCAATTACATACCACCAACGCCAGACATGATAACATACAGACAGTCATACACACATTTAAAACTTATCAGAACAAATTACTATCTATCGACGACCACTCCTTCTCGTACTCCTCCGCGTCGTTGGCGGCGGCGGCGGTGGTGCCACCGGCTCATATTCCGACTCGGACTCTGCATCTGATCCCTCAGAATCCGGTATCTCTACCGGGGACGAGAGGTCTTCCGAGTCAGAGCTCAACGAGATCGGATTCTCCACCTTGCCATCGTCATCGTCACCTTCTTCTTCATCATCATCACTATCAGCAATCTCCGCATCAACAGCCTCCGGTGTGACAGACTCAGTCGGTACATGTTGGTGGTGTTGTTCGTTATGATCAACAATCAATCCCCCATCATCATGATCATCTCCCTCCTGACCAGGAAGAAGGAAGCCACCACCTCGATCTACGTCCTCATCCTCCTCATCCTCACCAGGCAGTAAGAACCCGCCACCATGGACTTCGTCGTCGTGCTCAACCGGAGCAGGAGCGGAAGCAGACGCAGAAGCATCCTGATCAGACAACCGACCACGACGATTCGTAAACGGATTATGAGCATCCCGCTCATGATCCAACCCCTCATCTGCATTACCACCATACTCCTCCTGCACGCGCTGCTTGATCCGTAGCCCGAAGAGAAACTTCCGCCAGGTTTGCAGAATACGCGCCTCGGCTTTGCGCTGCTCCCGTTTACGTTTCTCTGCGTCATCCGCTAACCAAGCGTCTTTAACGAGGTCCTCGTTCTCCTCCGCGACAACCACGCCCTGAATAACAGGAACCGCCATCTTCGATCCGAACTCAAATCCTGTGACTGCTTCTGCGTAATCGACACCGAGTTTCTTGCATACGCGCACGGTTCCAGGCCAAGGGATATGGACCGCGCCGCGGGGCACCATGCTAGGGACGAAGCAGTCGATGTTTCCGTATTCATTCTTGGGGATGACGCCATCGCAGATTGGATCGGGGATGATATATTCCGTTTGGTGGATAGCATAGAGGCCCTGTTTGGGCTTTTCGCCATTCTGGCGCTCGAATTCGTCGACTTCGCGTTTGCGAAGGAGAGTGACGGCGCGGATGGGCACTCGTTTTAAGGGCATCTCGCCCGCCTTGGGTCTCCGGCCTTCTTTGTGCCAGCTTTCGGCGGATAGGCATTTCAGGACGTCTTTGCGTCGGAAGACTTTCTCTTCTTTGGCTTTGGCGCCTTTGCCTGTTTTGAAGGTGCGGACGTGGCGTGCGCCGGGTTTGAGGGCTTCTTCGCGCCGGAGGAAGCGTTCGAGGACGAACTCGGTGGATGTGCGTAGGCTTTGGAGCGTGTCGCCTTCTTTGCCGGGTTTGCGTTCGGGTTGGTTCGGGAGGAGGTCCTTGGTGTCTTCGAGGTCGTCGACGGCGGTGCGTAGGGGTGTAGGGCGTTGGTAGACGCGGAGAATTACGCGGAACCAGTCGATTTCGTAGAATTTGCCTTTGCGGCCTGGTATGGGGATCTTCTCGACGGGGATTCGGTAGCCTTTGGTTTTGCCGGGCCAGGTGCGGCGGCGGAGATAGCGTGTTGTCACGTCTTTGGCGGTTTTGTCGGGCGAGTAGGCCACCACGTAGCAGATGACTTGCTTCGCCTTTTCGGCTTTGCCGCCGCGAGGTTCGAAGGCTGCCTGGAGCTCCGGGGTCGTGGCGACAGGGTTGCGGAGAATTAGCGGGTCGACGGGGATTATTTGGTGGGTGATGGGCGAGGCGACTTCGGTCCAGTAGATGGGAAAGGGTAGGTCCTCATCGTATTTGTTGAAGTATTTGCTGCGGGCGGGCTTTGTGTCGTCTTCACTGCTATCGGACTCCATATCAATGGCGTCTTCTGTCTCTGCGTTCTCTGTCGATGGCTCGGTGTCTGCGCTTGGCTTGGTAGTATAGGTCTCGCTCTTGGTCCAGCCGAAGCCAAGGGGCTGCAGACTGGCGACCAGTCGGGCTTCGATATCGAGCGCACGCAGCAGAGCCGTGAACAGCTGGGCGCCTACGTCTCGAGAGCCCTGCATGTTCTCTGCAGCGTGGCGGAACTCTTCAATGTTGGCTATCCTCTCGCCGTGCTTTTCGGGATCGTGGTCGTCCTTGTGGAATGATTTGATCTGAGCCTCCAATTGAGCCATGGGGCGGTAGCCGTGTTTTCGTAGGCCAGGGGCGGTGATCTTGAACTTGCTCTTCCAGTAGGCGGCGAGGACTTTGAGAAGGATGATTATAGGGTCACCGCTGCTCATGTCAGGTTGGCCGGGTTCAAGTCGCGACGAGCCTTCAGCCCAATCCCGTTCTGATTGACGACGCTGTTTCCCTTTTCCTTTCTTCGACTTCTTCTCAGGAGGCGGCTCTGGAGCCTCGAGGCCGGATGCAATGCGCCATTTCTTGACCTCCTTGTGTATTGGTTGGGGTAGCTTGCGGCGCAGGATCTCGTGGAGGCGGGAGTCGTTGGCCCAGACATTGCGAATGGCGTTGTGGTGGAGCAGAAACTGTACATGTAGACAATGGGTCTGGATGCGGATTTGGCGTTCGATCTTTGACGGGCCCTTTTTGCCTTCGAGTAGGTCAGTCAGGTGAATCTCGTTCTTGTCTAATGTCAACTCCAGGTCCTGGTGCTGGTCGGGGTTGAGGATGGAGGGCGTCACTGGGGTGGCGTTGGCATTGGACTCGATGGCGTCTTCCCAGTCAACCTCGTCGGAGTCGCTGCTTTCTTCATCCGATCCATCTGGTACCTGGGGCGTTTCTGTCTCTTCGGGGACGTCACTCAAGGACGATTCGGTGTCGGTGTCTTCGATGACAGCGGCGATGGGAGGCGTCGCATGACGACGTTTTGCGGCGGGCGGATCCTCGGAAGAGAGACGCTTTCGGGGGACGTAGGGGGGCATGCAAGCAGCGGAAAGCAGACGACTAGAGAATTGTATTTAATCTAGAGGATTATATAACAAAGAAGAGAAAATGCGAAAGGAATTGGTGGAGGGTTGATGAGGGAGAAGTTGGAGGAAGGAGGAAGTCGAAGGAGAAGTTGGCGCCATCGAGGCTCGGCTTCTCCGCGTCTCTTCCCCATCTTTTATCTTTCAATTTCCCCCCCACATCATCGTCATCCTCCTCTACTATCCGTCCGCCTGACGAACCATCCTATCCTACTACTCTTTCCAGACTATCTGTAAATATCTTCTATCACCAAGACGATCTCAAGATGTCTGCTACGATGGATGCCGCGCGCCGCTTCTTCCTGTCGCCGCAGTTTGCCGTGGCAGGGGCCAGCAACGATCGCAGCAAGTTTGGCTACAAGAGTAGGTCCTTTTGCCATCACTTTGCAGGCCGTTGCGCCGGCTGACCAGCAGTCTTTGCCTGGTATCATCAACACTCTCTGCCCGTTACTCCCCTCAACCCTCGCGCCCCGGAGATCGAGCTGCCGTCGCAAAATTATAAGACGGTCCCATCACCCCGCGACTTGCCCAACCCCGACCAGACTTCCCTGTCTATCGTGACCCCTCCCCCAGTCACTCTTGCCCTCCTCAAAGAGGCTCACAGTGTGGGGATCCCCGCTGTCTGGCTACAGCCAGGCACGTATGATAAGAGTGTGCTGGACTTTCTAGATGGTCATTTCGCAGCAGCGGTAGTGGGAGATGGTGGTGTGGGCGGCGAGGGTTGGTGTGTGCTGGTGGATGGCGAGGATGCATTGCGAGAGGCCCATCGCGAGTGGAAGGCTCAACTGTAGTTAGGCTTCATATGAACTAAATAATTAGGAACAATAGTAATGAATATTGTTGCGGTGAAAAAAAAAAAAAAAAAATAAAATAGTAACGGGGAATGATGAAGAAAAGGGAAAAAGAAAGAAAGAGGGAGGCTGGCGGTGGCTCTTCTTGTTGGGGACAATCCCGTGTTTTTTCTCCTCTTCTTTTCTTCTTCTTCTTCTCTTTTTCCTCCTCCTCTACTTTCTCACCTCAACAACTATCTCCATCGCCCACGTTCTTTTGCTTCATCATATGCAACCCCCCTGCATCTCCTGTCCTTCCCAGCCACTGCTCGTCTCCACACCTTGAAGAAGGATGCCAGCCAGTCCATTCTTCCTCGAGTCCCCCATTCCTCCGCAACTCGATCTGGCCGGCGCTCCATCACAGCTTTTCCAAGTCCCGCCCACCCCATCAGCCTCATCGGCTTTGTATCGATCGATCTCTATCCCCAACCGCAAGAGATCCCGTCTAGAAGTTGATCGTCGTCCTTGGCTGGATGTCGACACTCCCTCTAGTCATGTCGCCTCTGTGATCTCCCCCGACGATCTCCTCCTTGGTGTGGAGGATACCTCCGTCGATCATGTCTATCGCCCCAACCGTTATCGCAAGCCTGCTCGATCTCTCGCTCTCGATGACAGTGTTGAATCTCTCAGCGAAACCGTGGACATTCGCCGTAAACGCAGTCGCTGGGATCCGTCTTTGATCGCAGCCTCTCCCACCGGTCACGATGAGAAAATGACGATCTCGACCACGACTATGACCACGACCGCGACCGTGACCGCGGCTCCTGCGGTCAATGCTTACCCACAGCCTGCTCCCGTCCGCTGGAGTCGAGCGGTGCTAGGCGTGGTAGGCAAAGTTTGGGACTTTTGTTGGAGCGGAGCTTTCCGAGGGTTTTATGCAGGCGGTGGGCAAGGCTATACCATGACGGCGGAGGATGCACAGCCCCAGCTGGCATCCCCATCGATCGAGAAGGAGAGCATGCCCACTTCTCAGCGGCAACAGGGTTCCTCTAGCCCTTTTCCGGGACAATATGCAGAAGATGATCTCAAGCACAGTTGGGTGATCGTGTCCGCGCGAGAGGAATTTATGGACGAAGCCAGTCCTTCTCAGCGCAGACGAGTCCATCGTCGGACCCCAGCACATACCCACTCTCGTCGGCGGTCGCAGGGCAAGCGAACGCTGATTTCGCATGCGCCGTCGATGCCGACGAAATCCCAATTCTCAACACCAGCTAAGCCGCGGGAGAGCCCTGTATCTGTGGAGACGCAACGCTACATGGCGCAAAAGCGCCGCATGGAGCGTGAAGAGGATGCCAGCCTTGCCCGGTTGAACCGGCAGCTACAGGCAATGATCAAGGAAGGGAAACAGGCGCTGGGGACACGCGTGGAAGTGGACGACTTGGACATGGAGGATTAATGCGCTTTCTCACTTTTACTTTTTTTTTTTTTTTTTTTTTTACGACATGTGTGACACAAACCTGATACCCTTCGTTGAACACCTATATGACGATACTTGACGATTGGCGACGCTCGTTACGACTACGAATCATGAAACCAACCGATAATGACTGGCGTGGGTCTTTATTTTCGAACCGATTGCGCGTGTGATACGATATTGTTATAGTTAGCTACTTATTAGCACAAAACAGAACCTGAACCAGAAACCTTGAACTTTGTAAATGCATCAATCATTCATCATCTCATACACCCCCAATCCAACTACTTCTCAGCCCCATTCTGCGTTCCAGCCCCTACACCCGCCGAATCCTCAGACCCGTAGATCGGATCAGCAGGACCATCCCCGTTATTATCATCATCGGCACCAGGTCCCTTATCATCACCAGCCGGAGCATCATCAGGATCTTCATCACTGGGATCCTCACTATCCTTCTTCGGACTAGGATTCAAGAAGGGAAGGTGCACGCCAGACAAGAACCCAGAGAGCCCACCATCCTTTGCTAGTCCGTCGAGGAGGTTCTCGCCTGAAAGACGCGCCGCTTTGCTTGTGGACTGGTTGGTGAATTTGTTAGCTTTGCCTTTCTTTTGTGTTGATCAGTAGTCATGGTGTGAAGTGATTTGAGATAGACGTACAGGAACCGGCATCGCCACTACGCCCATGACAAGGGTAGCGGGCACAGCGAGGGTGAGGAACTTCATTGTCTTTGTGGTTTTCGTTCGCTTTTGATTCCTGTATGCGAATATGTAGTAATGGGACAATATCCAAAGTGGATGGATGAATGAACGCCTGTTCGAAAGAAAGAAGGAAAGAATACTCAGTAGGGAACGGGAATAATACCCGCTATTAAATCAAATCCATGATTCTCAGTAATGTAGTAGGAGTAGATATCTGGTATGCTACGCGTGTCAGTATCCAATTTTTCCTTCCTTCCTTCCCACCTTGCCCCTTGATTTGGTGGGTGGGCGAGGGGACGCGGTGTCCTGCATTCCTTTGTCTGATAGTCTATCTATCTACATATAGTATCTACTAGTAGTTTTGTTTGTATAGGCTGTCGGCAGGGGGCGATTGAACACAAATACTGCCTTTCTACTTGACCCCCCCCTTCTTTGGAAGAAGGCTTGTTTGTGCTTGGCTCAGTTATAGAGTTGGGTACAGAGCACTTTATTTCTTATATAAGTGGTAGGTAAGGTATTGTTTCTCTCATGTCTTGGGGGCTCGATCCAGGTCTCAGGGATGAGTCCCTAGGGTAAGGAAGGTAGGTAGTAGGTAGGGTTACGCGGTAGGGATGAAAAAACGAACCCAACAATTTTCAAAGTCCGACTCAGTCAACTAATTGTACATGGGTCATGGGGTCTGTTCGGATAATTCCGATGGTTTTTTAATGTCGTGCTTGTCGTTGTGCTTGTTCAAAAAAGTAGTCGAGAATTGAGGCGCATTTTTGTGGGAGGGGGAAGAAGAAAGCAAAGGAAGGGGGGCAAAAAAGGGCAAAAAATTGACCTACGCAGGATTCGAACCTGCAATCTCTTGATCCGTAGTCAAGCGCCTTACCATTGGGCCAGCAGGCCAATTGATATATGTTTGAGCCTTTTTTGTATTTATGAAGCTCTTGATTATGGTCGACAATTTTTGACTGTTTGATGTCAGTATGCTTGAGATGGTGCTTCTCCTTTTTCATCACCGCCGTTGTTGGAACACGAATGTGGGATTTCTCTTAAAGTATTGATTCTTCTCCGAGGTGTGATTCTTGTAGGTTTTTGCAGTATATACCTTGTATTGACGAAACAAAGACAGCGATATGTAACATAGTATTGGATAACCCATGTCCTCCGTGCTGCACATTATCACTTCGGTGTTGAGTATGTCCGTGCAGGTTGAAACATAAACATCAATATTCGTAAAAATCAAACGCTAATCAAACGCCATCGCTATGCTCACAGTAGTGGCCAAATAATCAAAATCATGTCATCCGCGGCTGAAACTTCGGATTCGTCCGGATTCTCTCACCATACTTGAGTAAGAAAAGTGAAGCCGGGACAAACAAAAGTGCGATAAACGCGAGCAGACTGTTCCCCCATCCTAGTCCGAGGGCATCGTACAAAGGAGTCCCGCCAACGGGATCGTAGCCCCAAAGAGGCATCGCAGAGCCAGCTCCGCTGATACTGCGCTGGCAGCATATAGAGTATATGAGTCAATCAGATACACCTGGGTGACCAGATGAACAAAGAAGATGCCTGCACCCACGAAAAAGGTACCAGCAATAGGAATTATCCAGTGCAACCGGTATTCTGCGGCCCAGCCGTACCAAAAGAGACCGATCGGCACGAGAATGCATCCCACCACCAAAGGTGGAAGACGATCTTCGGGCTTCATCTTGCCATGAATCTTTTCCTGCTTCTTGAGGTATCGGTCGGAATAGTATCCCACAACGACCTGTCCAGAACAGAACCCAAGACCCAGTCCCAGATAGCCGAGACCTGCTTCTCCGGGAGTAAAGCCGTACACATTCTCGAAGACGCTCGTAAACGTCGTGAACAGTGTGTACATATAGCTGTATGTGATGGAGCTGTACAATGAAACGATCATAACGATGGGTGATAAAAACAGAAATTTGATCGGGCGGCTGATTGAGATCCAGATGATCTGGCCAATCGTCTTATCCAGGTCGTACTGAGTCCGAAACGGCCGTCCAGTCTCTTTTTGTAGTCGCTTCGCCTTTCGCTGGAGCAGCGTGGGTGCGTATGTCTCCCGCAAGAATATCAGGGAAGCAATCACGATGATACCGCCCTAATCATATCAGATATTCGTCCAACACCACGGGCATGAGCTAACTTACAAGAATCGCCTCTATCCAGATTGTCCAACGCCATCCAATGTTTTGGACAATGTAACCACCATAAATAGGTCCTGTGACCATACCCTGACGTACATGTTAGATCCGCATTTATACATCTGTTGAACTGGTAAAAAACTCACCATGAGTGGACCAACTGTCCAGATCGTCATTGCCGTCCCTCTCTTCTCCATGGGAATCATATCCGCAACGAAGCCTCCACCGACCGTCACAGGCACGGAACTGGCTATTCCCATAACGAAGCGTGCCATTATGAGCATTGATATGTTCACACTGGCGGCGCAAACAACTGCAGCCAGTGCAAATAGTACATTGGCCAGGTGTGTCATGGGAAGCCTTCCACTTATCTCAGTGAGAGGTGTCAGCACCAGAGGGCCAAGAGCAGAACCCATCACGTAGATCGATATCATAAGAGATGAAATGGATGGGTTGTGAACATTGAACTCTTTCAGAACTTGCGGAACGCCGGGAGCGAAGACCGTGGATACCATGGATCTACAACAGTCAATTCCGATGCTCGTACGAATGCATGGTCTTAGCGTAGACGTGTTGGACTTACACATTGAAGCTGCTCAAAGATATTAACCCGATAATAACCCATTTCCGCAAGGTGGTCCAGTTCATGGGGTTCTGGGGGTCGTTTGGCCCGTCCCAGTCCACAACGAGGTCGTCCTTGTCTTGGGGGTCGTCCGATTCCAATGCACCATCTTGTGATCTGATTTCTCCTTCTTCAACGTGCGCAATGTCTTTCTCCACAAAGATTGTATCAGCACTCTCCAGGCTAGTTTCCTGGCTCAGAGCGGCGGAGTAGTCAACATCCCCGGGTGGCGCCGTAGGCATGTTAATGATGGGGGTGGTTACACGGGAATAGTGAGAGCAGCTGGAAGATCAGGGACAATGGCACCAGATGATTTTCGACATGATTTCCAACTGACAATCAAGGCAATAAGTAGCTTGACAGCCACGCTGGGAAGACAGACAAACCAGGTAAATTGAGTAGATCATTGCAGACAACGCGCGTCCAGACAGTAGATGAGTCTGGCATTCCGGCCCTTGCTGTCCGTTCCGTGGGCCTCTCGTGGCTCCCTTTCTCTGATTTTGGGATTACCTATCGCAAGTTTCGCCCAAGGCGGATGGTAGTGGATACTATAGGCGTAAGACGAATCATCTAACATAGGCAGGGGTAGTAGCACTGACGACTGTAATGGATTCCTTGCGTGACCAACTTGCCTCTGCTCCTTATCGACGTTCGCCCCATTGGGATGGAGAATAAGCCTTATACCATAGAAACTATTCTCTGGGTAGTGCTTCAATATTCCCCACATGATCCACCATGGTGCAGAGGTCCCTGACCCGATTCTCGTTTTGTCATTCGCAGATCGACATATCATTTCAGGAATCAGGAACAGTAATCAGATCCCATAAGGTAACTGCTCCCCGGGAAACCATCACAGTATGATCGCGTGGCTTTGGTCCCAAAATAGCTGGGACAAACTGAAATTAATTCCATCTATTGTCGAATATATGCAGCCACAGTTCGAAACCAAATCCAGTATCCACTGGTGGATGCCTCCAAGCATTGGTCGTTAATTAGGTGATCAGCTAGAACATCGCCCACATAGTCTCAAACGTTGGGTCTACACAATTGGAGGGGCAATTTTGAAGAGACCAAGTAGCTACTCCTCTGCAGCTCCATGGGTGTGGTGATAGCAGTAGCGATGTTGTGCCTGTGTCTAACTCCGCGCGGCCCTGAAACAGGCTTGTCAGAGGACTGAGCTCATACCTGAAGGCATCACAGCCATGGCATGTTTTGGCCAAATATGTAGATCATCATCCGGATTGGCAGTCCTAGCTCAGATCCAGAAATGCTTGGTGAAGACACCTCAGCAGACGATTCTCATTATAGTACAGTACTATCGGACGGAAGGCGGGAGATCTCCCGGTTGGCCCGTCGGCTGGTACATTGGACCCGGTCGTCCCAGTCAACGCTTCGGCATTCCTCCCAAGTCCAGGATGTCCACTAACCGTCGCATATATGATCGCTCGTTGTGGCAAGTTAAAGGCGTGATACGGATCTTCAGGTCCACATCCTAGTTAACATATAGACTGAATATGCAAATATGGAGCTGCACCAAAATAGAGGTTGCTAGAAAGCTTATTGTCCGGCCGAGGTCAAGCGGTTAGAGTTTATCAGATTTCCGCAGCCCCGGGCTCAGTTCTAGCCCGACAGCATCGAAGTCTGGACAGCAGTCCTTGGGGATTCTACCCACTCTTCACGGCGATCTCCCTATGGGAGCCTAATCGATTGGTGACAGCTGGTGAGATTTTTGCCTCGGGTGGGTTCGGGGCCACGGGCTAGAAGCTTATTCAGATTCCGATATACCAAAATTTGGGGTTATGTTCCGCTATGATGCGTTGATTTTGCTGCGGATATGCGGCGCTGCACGAGTCCTTCCGTTGGTGTTCTCTTCGAAATCTCGCCTTATCAGAAGATGGAGATTGAGAAATGCAGGCAGCAGGTAGTCTCTCCATGCAATGTACATCCCGCCACTTGCTGCAGCCACAGTGGACCTTGCTACCCAGTAGCAAAGTGTAATTAAGGGTGGCGAGGCCGATTCTTGTGTGCGTATCTTGTAGGTCTGTGGCAGCTTGTTAACTCCCGAGTCAGGATACCGAGTATTCGCCATAACTCACGAGGTCAAGGCCACGCAATGTTCTTTATCGGGAGAAGCAAAAGTCTCATTTGGATGGCACGAGGATTCAGCGAGAGACGGAAGTCTGCAGGACTGATGAAACTCGCATTCACGGGGACCGTCCCGTGATCCGTTCCTTCCCTGGTATGCCGACAACCTCCAAACATCCACCGTCTGGGATTTCAGCAGTTCGAGGTATATCTCGGCTCGGATTACGACTACCTCCCACTCTTTCTTTTCACTGCTAGTTACTGTTACCCGATTATGGACAGCATCAACGTGAATAGAGTCGCGGGTGATTGTCGGGTTGCACCCACAGAATGACCTTTGAAACTGAGAAATGGCCCTTCCCATATCAGAAACACGTTTCGACTAATTTGATCGACCTTACCCGGGATGCTTCAATCCCGCTTAGTCTTCATTGGAGGAGTCAATTGCCAGTTCAATGACCTGCACGGTGCTGGTAAGTTCTTCTCCGATCTATGTACTATATATAGATGGTCCTGAGTCAGCCCGAAGATCAGCATGCGGGAGAGCTTCAACTGTGAGTACTGCTGTTCTCATGTCTAGTGAAACCTTCGTTGCTCAGTGATGATACTGAGCTATCTAGAAGTCAAAGAATCACAGCACCAATGCTCGAGCTATGCACAATTTGTAACAGAGTCCTCGGCCTCGAATAGCACAACCACATCGCTAGAAGTTGAATATACCCCGGAAGGAACTCAAAATCAGCTGATAGAAATAAATGGCTTGAACTGTTATAGACAATGGCTCCCATGCTGATACTATTCATACTAAATCGTTCAACATCGGATTTTGTGAAGTAAGAAGAAGCGTCAGGACTAGTCGATGACATGTCTACAACGCATTGTATGGGCAAAAGTGAGTCAAATTTCCTTCTTTTGCGGATAGAATTCTGACGTGTAATCTAATAAGTCGGTTAGGCCTAATAACCCAGTCCCAAACCTGGGGCAGAAGTCCTCCAAATATTCAGACTCAAAGATGTCACCGAACCTTTATGCCATGACAATCTCTATGTACAAACCATGCGGTCATAGCCTTAAAATCTGCAAGCCGTCTCGTAGGAGCTAAGAGCTTGATCCGATAACGTCAAAATCTGATGTTCATTCTAATGTCATCTTGCTCCCGTCTACGCGAAGGCACGGGTATCCGTGGTTATTTAGGCGCTTTGGCACGGAGATGACGACTAGTATACATGGGTCTATATTCTTCTCAGACCATACATTCATACATCATCATGAGCTGACCACTCACAGCGAGAAACACACTAAGTGTCTTTTCCAGCTCTTGTCGTGTCTATTCATTTTCATCTACCCACCGATACTACTACTTCCATCCACAGTCCAGCACGATACCGAGAACAAAGCTCGCGATGGATCCACGCCCAACTCCTCTTCCCACACCACCTCCCTCACCCCAGCCTGGACCTCAGCCTGGACCTCAGCCTGGTCCTCAGCCTGGACCTCAACCGGGACCTCAGCCTGGACCCCAACCGGGCCCCCAACCAGGATCTCAGCCGGGACCGCAACCAGCACCGCAGCCGCCCCAATCAGTTCAAACTGCAAACGAAATCAGTTTCGATGAAGATCTCTCGAGCCAGTCTGGTTCCATCGGTCAGGGTGCAGACGCACAAGCACCCCTGGGCTCCAACCCACCTCCGCCCACCTCAACCTCCACTCCAACCACGAACCCCAGTCAAATACTCACTGCAAAGTCTGCCGTGGCATCCGCAGCCAAAGAGCTACGCTTGATCCGCAAGATGTTCGAGCCCGAAGAAGGCGAAGCGTCTTCGAGTCGGGCGGTTCCTCCAGAGGAGCAAGGCGGCGGCAGTAGCAGTGGCAGCAACGGGGACCCGTCCACTCTCTGGCGCGAGTTCGAGAATCTCGAAGTTCACGCCGCCAGAGGGGTGGAAATGGAGGTCGGGGTGTTGAAGAACCTCCTGAAGCAGTTGGAGATATTACTGGATAACGCGCGAAGCCAGTTGATAGAACTGGAGGCGCAGAAAGCACTGTTGGAGACGTTGCTCGCAATTTCGAAGTATCGTGGGGAGGTAGAGGATTCAAGCTCGAAGAAGGGTTAAGGAGTACTGCTACTTTCCTACCTTCTAGTCACTCGCTCATTTGCTTAACGGCTATATTGTTTCTGGTTCACCTTGCTTATCATTCGTTTAGACCAAAACAGAGCCCAAAGAACTATACCCAACTATACCCAACTCGTTAAATTAGTTGCTTAGTTGAATCTATTGCTATTCTCTACATACCAAATTCCCCCCAAACACACCCATACCCATCTAATTATCAAACGGCAACCCCGCCTCCTTCCTCACAGACCCATAAACCGCCGCCACATCTCCCTTCACCCCCTTCTCCTTCTTTACATTCACCAAATGATGATCCGTAACCTCCACACTCCTCAACCTGACCCCCGCCTCCCCAGCCAAATTACTAGCATGTCTCAAATCCTTCCTGGCCAAGTCCACCGCAAACAACGGCTCCTCCCTCCGACAATAATCCCCGGTAACCATGCGATCCGCATACAACGCAAACGGGCCGGGGAAAAACGTATGCATGAACTGCTGATACATATCCGCCCCCAACCCGGTCTTCTCCGCCGTAACCAACCCCTCCGCCACCGTCTCTATGGTATTCAAGATAAACGTGTTTCCGAGGATCTTCAGCGTCGTGGCGCGGCCCACATCCTCACCGGCCATGGAGATCGTCGCTTTGGAAGTAACTCCATCCAGGAAGGGCTTGATGCGCTCGATGGCGGCGGCGTCACCGGCGGGCACGACGACGAGTTGGCCCGCGATGGCGGCCGCGGGGGCGCCGAATACGGGACAGGCGATGAAGGAGGCGCCGTGCGAGGCGAGTTGGCTGTGGATCTTGCGCGAGGTGTCTGGGTGCACGGTGGAGCAGTCGACGATGATCTTGGAGGAGAGGGAGTCCGTGGGGAGGCCTGAGATAATGGCTTCCAGGGCGGCGTCGTCGCCGACGCAGATGAAGATTATGGTTGAGGTGGAGATGGCGGAAGAGAGGGTCGTGCTGACGGTGGCTTTGTTGGCGGGGAGGGTCGATGCGAAGGTCGTCGCTTTGCTGCTTGTGCGGTTGTAGAGGGTTATGGGGGCTGTTTGGGGACCTTTTTGGGCGATGTTGGCTGCCATGGCCTGGAATTGGTTGTTAGTATTGTGTGTAATTGGGGGTGGGAGGAAGGGTGGTGATGCAATGAGGGGCACATGGAGGGGTGACTTACGCGGCCGATGTTGCCCAGGCCGATCCAGGTGATGCGTTCGTTGGCCATGGTGGTGGTGGTGGTGGTGGTGGAGTTTGTGGTGAGAAGAGAGAAATTGGAAGAGATGGATGGATTGTGGGAATTGTGTTAGATTGGATAGTGAAGCTGGGGGGAGAAGCTGGATTAAATACAGATGAATGAAAGCAGGGCGAAACCGGATGCGATGCGGGGAGAGGGGTTCAATGTTTAGCCGTCATTCCACGGGTGGTTCTATTGGATACGGCAGTTTGAGTCAAGCTTACGGATGGAGACGGTTCAATGGAACTTCTTCATGATTGAGTGGAACTGGATAACATGCTAAGCTTTAGTGGACCAGCTTCGGTCAATTCGACAGCCCGAACAGTCGCGGTTCGCTGTCTGTTCAATGCCGAAGACCGGATGGCCCCGCCCGCGGAGTCATCGCCATTTAATTAGATATTAACTTAACTAGCAAGTAACGAGTCAACTAAGTACACCGTAGTTAGTTGGTTTTATCTTCATCCAGATCAAATTCATCGCTTGCTTCAAATGCAATTTTTGTTTTCTTGTGTCCGACCCAAGGAAAGGAACGCCAATGACCAATGTCATGTCATTCAATCTTCAACCGCGGATCCGAGTATGAGGAGGCGCCCAGGGTTGGCTCAACACCTCGAGCAGTTTCTCGTATGCGACCACGCGTCCATCCTTGAACGGCAGCTGCCCGGATACCTGCATGGCCCGCATGCGCATTGCATAGGATTCGTTAGTGTCGGCCATCACACGCAGCAGCGCATTGCCCAGCTCCTCCCCACTCACGCCCGGCGCCGACCTGCGGCTACCCCAGATGCCAATCCATCAGTACTCAACCCGTGCAGCAAAGTCGTACGCGTCAAACCAGACCGGGAGCACGATCTGCGGAACCTCAGCCCTAGTGGACCTCGGTGTTAGCGCATATTGCATTCATCCTACCACAGAAACAACGGCAAAAAAACGCATAGCTGTAGAACGAAATAAATGACTTACCTGACAGCCTCATGGAACGCATTGGCTCCGCCATAGTTCACCACACAATTGACATGTCCACTCATAAGAACTGACATGGTCTCGAACACAAAATGCTTCATAATGCGCATACGCTTCCCGTGTATGTACACCCCCAAAAGCTTGACGATCTCTCTGGTCACGGCAGGATCATCGACGTGCTTGAGCTTCCAGAGGACTTGGATGTTGAGCTCTTGCTCGAGAAGCATGCTCAGGGCCTTGGCGATTTCAATTTGCTGCTTGCCCTCGTAGGTGAAGCGGGCGTCCATAAGGACCAGCACAGTAGGACGCTTCGAAAGCCAATTCTCCAGTTCAGGATCTTCCTTCACCATAGGGCGATAGCGGCGAAGAATAGGGCCACAGAGGGTCATGTGCTCAGGCACAATGAGTGGGAAGTCGGTCTCCGGCCAGGAAGGAATGATGACACGGCTACTCTTCTTTGCCTCGTGGGACATGAAAGGAAGAGGGCCCTCAATTCCGCGAGCCTCACGGGCCTCATTGAGTTCCTTGAGACTTTCGCATTTGTCAAGTTCGTGCTTGAACCGGAAACCCAGGAAGAGGTTGCGAAGCTTGTCCCAGATGGACATTGGCATCTTGAACCCAGAACAAATCCTATCACAGTCAGCAAACAATCCCCACAAGCCCTCAGAGGCGACCACTCAAAACTCACATCGGATACTTCATCAAATCACTCAGCTTCCACTTCACCACATAATCCTTGACTCCACCCTTTCCCAACAGAACATGTCTCCAACGCAAGTACCGACAGACGTCGACAGCGGGAGCAAAAAGTGGATCAACGACGATCAAAACAGGGCCAAGGGATTTCACAAGATCAACAACGCCATTGAAGATCTCAATATAATCCCTACCGGTCCAAGGCATCAAACCCAGAGCCAAATCCGTGCGATAGTTCCTCAACGCAGCAAAGAAACCAATCTGCGGGATGTCGTCAAACTGTCCATCTCTCATGCGAACATGTTTCATAGACATTCCAGGGATCTCCTCGAAAGTTGCCTCAGTAGCAAAAGGAGACTCCGAAGCCGCAGCATAGTAGTTCAACTCTGAAACATGTCTCTTAAGCGGTCCAAATGATCCAATATGGATCTTGTAAGGCGTATTGCCAATGAGAAATTCGTGAGCTACGGCGAGGATGACGCTTGAATGCTCGCGCTCGCTGTTTGTCAGGAACAGAATGCAGGGCGTGCTGCTTCTGATGTTGATGGTGGTGGTGGTGTCTATCGAGCCGTATCTATATCCGTAGGACATGATGGCGGCTCGGTAGTATGATATTCTGATGAGTGGTAAGATGGGGGTAAGCTAAGTAGATATGAGGAGGGGGAGAAGAAGATGAAGGAGAAGAAGGGGAATGGAAAGGATATAAAAGTAGCACTTATCTTCCATGATTGGAGCCATGCATCAAAAGAAATAAGCTGCGTGCATGTGTCTGCAAAGTGACTGTCTGGCGGGGTGAGGAAGTGAATCCAAAAACACGTGTTGACGGATTGAAGATGAGAGTATGTGAACTGTTGTCCTTCTGTCGTTACTATCCGCCTTTCTGATATGGCGAATGCGAACTCCCTCCGAACTCCCTCGGAAGGCATTTCATACTGTTCTGGAATGTCTCCGCTTGTGCTTCTGCATGTCTCCGCTTCACAGTGAACGAAAGGGTCTGGCAGTGAACGAAGGGTCTGCGGCTGGGGATCCGATTTCTCTCACGGCCAGGAAGAGTGTTTGTGCTGAAGGAATTGCTGCATACTGGGGGATGGTTTCCGTCTATGGTCTATGTCATTAACATTATTCTATGTCTCTATATAGAAGGTATATCAACGTGTAATCAGAACGCCGAGATAGTAGAATAGTTATGCGCCAATACAAATCGCAACTTTGGAAGATGAACCCCATCGACCTCGACATGGAGGTCATTAATTAACCTCGCTCAAAAATAGTGCCCTAGCTACCGTGCTGTAGCCAGTTATTAGGCGACTCTCACGGCTCAGATGTCGTTTCCACGTGTACGCCGCGAAGGGTACAGCCCTTTGCTGTAGGGCTCCACGTATAAGCTGCGGGATTTACTAGCATATCGTTCTCTCGCGAACGTACCCAACCGCACTCCTAGTAAGTGCATATAATGCACAAAATGGATATATGGCTGGATGGATTGGCATCACATCTTTGGTGGTGCCCTGAGATATTTTGTATGATATTGCCCCACAGGCCCAAGTGTGGAGCATGACCTCATGCCTTGGTCGAATTCTTCCTAGGACGGCCGCTGATAGTAGAGTTGCACGTATTGACTCGATCAATATCGTACGGATTCTCCTCGTATGTGACTGTACGAGCAAGCGAGTGAGTGGATTTCTTGGAAGCGCGCGACGCCCGCCGTTCCATTGCACCCCTAGAAGGCATACTGGAGAGGCTGTCACTATCACTATCGTCGCTGACAACATTATCAGCTCCAGCGACAGATTCCCCCTTCTCCACGTCAGACTTGGGTGGAGGAGCCGAGCTTTGCTGCGCCGCAGCAGCAAGTCTCTGCATGAACGCCTCTGCCTGGGCAGCATAGAGGCAGCGCTTGCGGATGCGAGCACCATACAGGTAGAAGACGATAGGGAAAGGAAGGCACGCAAGCGACAAAAACGCGGGGATTGAGGAAGCCCAATGGATACCGAGGTTCTCGTACATGTAGGTCGTGAACAACGGGAACGCAAAGCCGAGCAAAGACCGGAGAGCCGAGTTCGCCGCCAGAACCGATGCGGCATAGATCGTGTATGCGTCAATGAGGTAGTTGAAAACACTCAGGAATACCAATACCAAGCCGAACCCGAATGGGGCACCTGCAGCCACAGATGCCATCCAGTGGATGGACGGGTAGTTGGTCCAGGCAAACCAGAAAAGGCCAATAGGTAGGGCAATCCCTCCAAGGATACTTGGGGGCAGACGAACCTCGGGAGGCAGACGGCCGTTGGCTTGCTGGCATTTCTTCGCATAATCTAGGTTGTCAGGAATAGTGAGAGCAACTGCAATTACCATTCCGACTAGGATACCCAAAAAGGCCAAGCCTCCAATACCCTCGCTCCAACCGCGTGCCTCCTGAAAGACGATAGGATAAGCTGCAAACAGCATGTAAAGCGTTCCATAGATGATGGCCATGTAGATACAGAGAAGCAGCACAATAGGTTCTCTGAAGAGCATGAGCCAAGGTCGTGACAGGGCAGTCTTCAATGCTTGGCCTAAAGACACCTTGCCTCTCTCCATATCCAGTTTACTGCGGTAGACTTTGCCACTCAATTCAGACAGCTTTTCAGCCCGTCGGCGCAAGAGAACTGGTGCATATGTCTCCGGCAGGAAGAAGATAAGGCATAACCACATCACGCCGGAAAATGCTGCCAGGAATCCTTCCACCCAGCGCCAGCCTGCTCCGGCGCCCAGAAAGCCACCAATGACGGGGCCAATAGTAGGTCCGCAAAGAGGTGCTGCAGCGAAGAGACTGATAGCGATACCACGTTTGGCCGCGGGGAACAAATCTGCAATCGTGCCGCCCGCGTTGCCAAAAGGTGATGATCCGAAGAATCCGGCCAGGAAGCGAAGGATGACCAGCGTTTGAATGTTCTTTGAACCCGCAGCCCCTGCATTGAAAGCTGTGAGAAGCGCAAAGGTCACCGAGAAAACATTACGGCGTCCGAACACCTCGCTCATCGGAGCCCATAGTAGCGGGCCGAAGGCGAAGCCCAAAACGAATAGCGAGATACCGAGGATGGCAACCTCTTCCTCACATTGAAACTCTATAACAACCTGACTTATACTTCCCGAGTATGCTGATGACACCAGGGCGACAGTAAGGGTCACGAAGGAAACTAGGATAGTATATACCCATTTCGAGAGATTACCAAAAGCCATAGGGTTTCGAGGATCATTAGGAAGCCAGGTGACGACATAGGGCGATTCTTCTGTCCCTAACCCTTCGTAGTTAAAATCGATGATCTCCGGGGTGACGACTTTTTGGTCGAAGACAAGGCGCCAATAGGGGATCTTCGAGGGCCGAGGAGCGCCGCCATTGGCGACAGTGCCTGCCATGCCCATAGTGCCCGTTAATTAAGGTTCAGCACAACGGCTATTTGCAGAATGGTGGCTGGGTGGTATGGATATTGACACAACGTAGAAATGTCTCTCAACCTTTTCAAGCAACTGCTAAACTGAGAAAAGAAATGACGAATAGACAAATAAATGTATGACAACAAACATGGCATGGGATTAAACCGGCACGACTTTTCCGATTACAATTTCTTCATTCCTCCGGTTACTCGGCAGGGGCGATAGGCCTCAGCGAATCAGGAGTCGGAATGTGTTCTGGGAGCCGAGGTTGCTTCAGAATTTGCTGTGCCTGTCTTATCTCCGCCCAATATCCGCTGTTCCAGTTTTTGGTGCTTCTCGTTGCTGCGGCTGCCTGACGATTTGTTTGTTTTGTTCGAGAAAGCGATAAGGCCACATGTTGGAGAACTTTGGTGGTGAAAGATCAGGATCAGGTTGGCTGCCTTTAAGTATTGCTTCGGCTGCGTCCCTTATGCGTCTAGCAGTTAGAGAGGAACGCCAGTCCGATTGAGAGAGTCGGGATCATCAAATAGAGAGTCATACTGAGCCTCAGTAAGCTTCAAATTCGCGGGTTGACGAGTCGATCTGGATGGTAATTCGTGAACTCTTCGTCGCAAGCGATAATAGCTAAACCCAAACTCTCTTGCAGCCTTCCGTATGTATACGGGGTTTTCGGTGTCCTTTTTCTCATGGTAGTAGTCTGTAGACTCTTTGTATTGGTCTTCCTGGCTCTTGTAGACAGACGACATGATTCTCTGGTGTATTTCAGGAGCCTTGCTTAAATCGTTCTCTGGGAAATGCTCAATGCGATCCGACAAGCTGACGTGGTGCGTTGAGCTGTCAGCGTGGAGCGCATGCGGCAACAACGAATGAATTCGACATTGTAGACAATAATACAATATCTCTCACATTACCTGAACCTAAAGCGGAAGTGTATGTGAAAGATAATAGCACTTTGTGAGTTCAGCTTTCTGAATGTTATTGTGAGAAGCAGAAGTAACGCAACTTCTTTGAACTTCAATCGAATACTGCGTCGGAGGTATATTTCTGTCTGAGATGTGTCAAAGGTGCAGTGCAGTCACACCACCTACTGAAGTTTTCTCAATCCCTGCAATCCTATAATCCCGGAAATAAGAACGACACTTACCTCCAATATTTCCAACCTCTAGAAAGACTTACAAATCTTTGACCTGGCACATAAGAAAGCATTTGTGACTACTAAGTACTCTAATAGCTGATGTTGGCCTTGGCAGTTATACTATGAACACAAGGTTGGTTCATGGACGGAAAAGGTTTGGTTTACAAGCATACTTAGTACATATATCCAAAGCTGGAGTACTGTATTGATAGATTCATTACTCCCTTCAGAGAAAAGCTGTATAGATGTCGATCGTTTCATTTGAATGGGTTACATTCCTTCTTTCACATATAAATCTGTCGTCAAGAGGGTCCGACTGATTAATAAAACAAGCTTGCAGGGATTAAAGGACTCAGGTGGGGACGCTACGCGCTCCCAGCAAAAGAGGTATTAAGGTTGACCAATTGGCATGATTTCTTGATATGCCCGGCAGCTTAGGTCAGTATCCATGCGATAAAGATTAGTAGTAGAAGTTGGAGACAAAGACAAAAAAATAACGTTGTATATGAATGGCTTGCGCCTGTAACTAATCATGATGTTTATGTGGTCTGGATCGAGAGAATGTATAGAATCCAGAGGTAAGCTAACAGCAAAAGGGTGTCCCGTTTTCGCTTGCGCCCTATGAAGGAAGTCAAAAAGCAAGGGTTCGAATGTCGCCTGACAAGTACATGCACATGACCATGGTTACCTACGGAGTAGTCGGCTCGGACACAGGACCTTGGCATTGCTTTTGAATGCATACCCTGCAAAAAAGACGCTATAGACAAAAGACATACAAACATGCGCCTAGACCGAGATTTCGGCCTCCATATCACTGACATGTCTATCCGTTTAAAAACCACTATCTGAGAGTCGGGGCTATAACTACAGCTCTATAATGATTCTGCTGTTCCTCCTGTGACTTTTCCAGAGTCCGGAGTAAGCGAACAGCGCGTATATGTAATTCTAGCCATCTGTTAGTGTGCGAATGTAAACAAGAGAACCAGAGACCACCATACCTTCAATCAACAATTCATAGCTCGTGAATTGGTCGTCGTCGCGATGTATGAGAATTGGCACATTTTGATTCATTAGCGGTTTTGCCTTGACCCTAACTTTGATCCCGACACTCTTGCTCTGATCAACCCATAGCATTTGCGAAGGCTCTGTACCATCTGGTACGAATTCACGGATTCGCTTCTCTTCATCTCTCAGCCAGTCGCGAAATACCCTGATTACCCCGTCCTCAACATTGTGTGTACTCAGGAGCAGATTTGTACCCGGCATGACCTTCACGATATTTACGACCACACATAACTGAGAAAAGTTTTCAGAGTTCTCGAGGTTGATAGGGCGCGTGAAAACCAAGTTGTCTCGGTCGGGGTCTTGCTCATCGTCTACCAAAATCAGAGACCTCGAGTCGTGATCGCTGTATCTGGGAACAGGGGCGCATACCTCTTAGGGGTACTAGCCTTGTTCCGCTCGATCTTTCTTCTACCGCGACTTCAGGGCGGAACCGAGCATACACCGAACTCAGTCTTCCCAGTTGCTGGGCCGTGTCGGGATTCTCATGAAGCGAGCCACTCCTCCCATTGAGTTGATCTAAACCGTCGGTGTCAAGGTATGTGCAGAATGCACCAGACACGGCTCCATTTGAGCTCGGGTGAAAGCATTCTAGGATGAGTTTATATTCATGCAAAGGAGCGCCGATGAGCAGACGATAATGTAGGATCCGCAGGACGAGGGCGTGGAAGCGGCGGGAGACTGTCGCCCAAGAGATGAGGGATCGCGTCGAGAAGGAGGATAAAATCTGAGCGAGGACCTGAATTAACCATAGAAGCATCAGCGAGTCATCTTCCCAATGATTGGAGGTCGCATTATCGCACTTCGTTGGGGAGGGAGTAGAGGTGGAGCTTTGAATGGCCGTCGTCCATGATCTGATCAACTGCGGGGAATATGTGTGAATCTCATATCTTCGCTCAAGCAACAAATGAACAGAACACGGTTCATACACAGCAGTAACAGCAGTTCAGTGGAGCCCAACTTAGGAGGGAAGTGACGTGACAAGGGTCAGATGATGCCAGCGCGAGCTTCTCCGGGGATGTGGAGGTTCGGTGATAACGGGCGATAAGGCTAGCCAGTGCCCCTCGTTCCCCCTGACGTCAAACGAATCGGCCCGAACGAAGGCGGGCAGCTGACTGTCTGGATTCGGGTAGCCGCGGGGAGAAAGGAAAGAAACCAGAGTCATTCTCGGCCCACCACCGCGTTGGTTTTAGTCAATAGTGGAGTATGCTTCATGTCCAATTCAACCGGTAGACATGCTGTACAGGTCGGTTGATTTAAATTCGCTAAAGAATGATCTATTAAAATGCAAGACTCCAAAGACATGACCTGAAAACTCAAACACATGGGCGGATAAAAGATTGTAGCAGACAGGCACAATCATGTTTAAAGTTGCAATTGCAGCAGCAAGAAAAGGGTCCAGGGCCTCCCCATGAATTTACCCGAGCAGCCGACCGGATGGCAGCTTTTTACCCCGTGCTGGTTCGGTGCCGAATCGCCATAATTTCCGGAGACCCCGCGACTAAGCCCCGCCGCCAGGGCCATCAGCCAACTTTTCTTTTCACGCAGTTTCTTCGCTCTTCTTCTCTTTCTTTTCCCTTTCCTCTTGTAACAACGCTGCATCTTACTTGCATAGACTATACATTACCTCAACAATGGTCGAAAACGTTCTGGACGATATCTCTCATCGGAGATTCAATCCTCTTCGAGGATCCTACATTCTGGTCTCCCCGCATCGGACCAAGCGCCCCTGGCAGTAAGTTGGCCTGCTTCTGTCCAGCAGAAATAGACATGGACCCATTCAGAGAGGAGCAGTTGAGCTAAATGCTGCGACCAGAGGACAGCAGGAGAGCCCCTCTAAAACTACCTTGCCAACCTACGACCCCGCTTGCTATCTCTGCCCCGGAAACAAGCGCGCGCAGGGCGATACTAACCCCAAGTATGAGAAAACATTCGTCTTCGTAAACGACTACAGTGCGGTCAAGGAAGAACAAGCGCCGTATACCCCTGAAGGTGGCGAGGGTATGTTTTACCTGTAATATCAGGCCTAGCGAATGCGACACTAACAAAATCGGGGACCAGACCTTGAATCATTCTTTCTCAAGGCAGAGCCTGTCACCGGTAAATGCTATGTGCTTACCTTCTCTGCGGCCCACAACCTCACCTTGGCCGATCTTTCGCCTGCCGAGATCGCGCCTGTCATTGACGCTTGGACCGAGATTTACACTGCCCATTTGTCTCCAAAGTCGTCATTGGCTGCTGTAGCTCCAGCGACCACTCTGCCCCCTAGCTCCCCGACCGCTAGCTTGACCAAGCCTAAGGAGCAGTATCGCTACATGCAGATCTTCGAGAACAAGGGTGCCGCCATGGGGTGCTCAAACCCTCACCCTCACGGTCAGGTCTGGACTACCAGCTCTTTGCCCGAAGAACCGGCTATGGAACTCGAGCAGCTGAAGAAGTACCGCCGGGAGAATGGTGGCAAGCACATGTTGGAAGCTTATGCTGCTCTCGAAAGCCGGAAACAGGAACGCGTGGTATTTGAGAACGATGCCTTCCTAGTTGTCTGCCCCTGGTGGGCTGTCTGGCCTTTCGAGACCATGATTGTCAGCAAGACCCACAAGCGCGCCCTGGTCGACCTAAATAGCAGCGAGAAGGTACAGCTGGCGGAAGCCATTGCCGAAGTCACCAGACGGTACGACAACCTGTTCGAAACGCACTTCCCGTACAGCATGGGTATCCACCAGGCACCACTTGACGGAACCGAGGAGGAAATCGAGTCGTCATATCTTCACCTTCACTTCTATCCCCCGCTATTGCGCAGTGCCACCGTGCGCAAATTCTTGGTCGGGTGAGTTGTTTCCAACTATCACGTTACGGTAAAGGTTTGCTGATGAGTCATAGGTATGAAATGATGGGCGAGCCCCAGCGTGACATTACACCCGAGCAAGCGGCCGCGAGGTTGCGAGGCTGCGGAGGAGAGCTCTACAGGAAGAAGATGGACTAAGAACAGAGAATATTGGATTAAACTGGATTGGATGTTGTATACCTATGTGTTCTGACAGCAATGAATACCTGCGTTCGTGGGTCCATCGGACCAGTCCCGGCCGGCTTCTGTGTTTCGGATCTGTGTCGACTCCTGTCATACCCCTGCGAGAAAGGGAGCTAATCGAATATGCGTGTCTCATCACCCACGCGCCATTAATGACTTGCACCCTTACTTCAGCTCAGCCTCTATCCCTTGCCAGCTCCTGCGTCATCATGATCGTCCTCTTCGATTTCCCCACAGCTCAGCTACATACTCCGTAGCATAATTCCGACCAGTGAACTGCTATGGAGCGGCTGAGCTGTGGGCTCGGCGTAACTTTACCTATCTAGAATTAACCTTAGGAGGTGAAACATGGTTCACCTCTCACTGAATGAATCGCCCAATGTCGATTCTTTGTCTTCTACGTGCGCTGGTATTGGCTCGTGGGTATACTGTCGGCCAGAACCGACACTTAGTTCATCATACGTAGACTACGCGGACTAGACCCCGTGCCTTGACCGATCATAGATCTTCACAACTATTCCTTTGCCTTTTCATTACATTATTGATATGATCATAAACTAGCCGATCCATAGCTTGTCCCTCCGCTAAGAAATAGAGCATGCATCGAAAAAGCAACCAGCCGCAAACCCGGCAAATTACAATTAAGATCCAGCCCAACCTAAGCAGCCAGATACGCCTCCCTCTGCGTCAACATCCAAGCCAGCGAGGACGAAGCAACAATCAAAGGGCTAACGAAACGACCCTTAAGCTGCGCACTACCGAAGCCCAACCACTCGCCGACAAAGTGTGCCAGGGCAATGCCAAAAGTCCAGAGCGCGAGATCATAGACAGCCGGGTTGTTGAGGTTGTAGGCGGCGTAAATGCGGACTACGGAGGAAAGGAAAGTCCATGTGCCGAAAGTCCGAGAAGAGAGGGGGTTGGTGTGCGGGCGACCGTCAGCAGTTTTTCCGTTGTAGAGATCTGCGGCATAGGACACCGAACGGTAGGCTTGGATGCTGTTTGCGGCGGAGACGACGGAGACCTGAATGGAGAGGAGTGGTCGGGTTAGCATGGGGTCGGTCCGGGGAACGGAAGTGTAGTTGTAAACAAATGGGGGTTGTACCAAGAAGAGCCATTTGGGCAGCAGACCCTCGAAGGGGGGAAGGTAGGAGAGAAGAGCGGCCATGATTACTATGCGAAGTTGTACTCCGGAGAGTTTGACAGAATTGGCTGCGCAGAGAGATAGAGTTGTGGGGATCAATTGGTTGGGAAAGACTGATAATTGCGATGAGGATATTGCTTCTTTGGAGTGGCCGAGGTCTGTCCGCTTGGGGGGTCTTGGCACCGCCCATCCCCAACCATTATTCTGCCTTTATGATTGCTGCCGCATCTCCGTCCGTCTCCGGATTCTTTCTGCAGCCAGCTTCCATCCCCACAATCTTCAATCGGCACGGGTTGAACAACAAGCAATCATGGAGTTTTTGACAAAGCATCTGGACTGTCTGTCCAACTTCCAGTTGGACCTGCAGCCTGGCTGGCAGACCGTGGGCGCCTCGGCTCTTCTCGCCGCTGGCAGCTTGTTCGTCGTCTCTCGCGCACTCATTTTCGTCAGGGTCCTCTTGAGCTTGTTTGTGCTCCCTGGCAAGCATGTATGTTGTCCCTCAAAATATCAATTGAAGAATATGTCGCTGATTTTCATTCTTCCAGCTCCGCTCCTTCGGCCCTAAGGGTAGCTGGGCTGTGGTCACAGGTGCCTCCGATGGACTCGGCAAGGAATTTGCTCTTCAGCTCGCCCGCGCTGATTTCAACATCCTCCTCGTTTCCCGTACCGCCTCCAAGCTCGATACCCTTTCCAATGAGATCACAACCAAGTTCCCGTCCGTGCAGACCAAGACCCTGGCGATGGACTTCGCCCGCAACGACGACAGCGACTACGAGAAGCTGAAGGAACTGGTCGACGAATTGGACGTGTCCGTTCTGGTCAACAACGTTGGAAAGAGTCACAGCATCCCTACTCCCTTCGCTCTGACTCCCGAGGATGAGATGACTGATATCGTGACCATCAACTGCCTGGGTACCTTGCGGGCAACCCAGCTGGTTGTTCCGGGTATGATGCAGCGCAAGCGCGGATTGGTCTTGACTATGGGCTCGTTCGGTGGACTTCTCCCTACCCCTCTTCTGGCTACCTACTCCGGCAGCAAGGCTTTCCTGCAGCAATGGTCCACTTCCCTTGGTTCGGAGCTCGAGCCCTACGGAATTACTGTCGAGTTGGTCCAGGCCTACCTTATTACCTCTGCTATGTCCAAGATCCGCCGGACTAGTGCTACGATCCCCGACCCCCGCTCATTCGTGAAGTCGGTCTTGACTAAGATTGGCCGCAATGGCGGATCTCCCACGTACGCGTACAGCTCTTCCCCCTACTGGAGCCACGGATTGATGGCCTGGTTCTTGACCTGCGTTACCGGGACCATGGGCAAGATTGTCGTTGGCCAGAACAAGGGCATGCACGAGTCTATCCGGAAGCGTGCTCTGCGCAAGGCCGAGCGCGAGAAGGGCAAGAAGAGCACCTAAGGTGCTTGGCAGTCGCTTCTAGATGATGACTCACGTGCGTTTGCCGATCAACCTGGGGTACGGGGGAGAGATAAAGAAAGAAACAGAAAAGGGAGCATGGAGAAGAACGAGCCGGTGGGGGAGAGTGTCTGTGTGTGGACTGAACCCTGAGCTGAATCTGAATCCACTGGGGGACGTGTGGCGAACGAAGAGTCTCGGAGTTCGGTGAAAGGTGCATGCAGCTATGGAGCCAGATCGAAGACCGTCCAGATAGGAGCGGGCCGCATCTTATCTTCAACGGAGGGCACAGGTCCGGATGGACCTTACCTTTTACAAAGTACTCTAACAACCTACACGTGGTGTGTGGTGTCTGTCGACAGGGCCAATCAAACCTCCGACCAGGGGGTTGGTGACTACGCAATCCATGATCGACAGCACCAAAGATGATTTGATATACTATGTTTAGCAGAAACAGATAGCATAAAGTACGGATTAATCTAATAATGTGGAAGGGGAAGATCCTCGCTTCGCAGTTACCTCGGTGCTCTTTATTCTACTATTTAAGGTATATTCTCCGCCTAAATCTGTCAAATATGCGCACTACAGAGCATGGCCCAGTGCAAAGCAATGCAATGCAGTGCAGATATGCAGATATCCACCGAGATCTCGGGGTTCGGAGTCTGCACATCCCAAAGCATAACTGAGCTGAACTCAATCGGGCTGGACCAGATGGATGGGGGGCCATCCGTCCTAATCTTGGGACCACCGTCGGTGAATAAATCTTGTGTCTGTGTCTGTGTCTCGGCTCTCTCTCTCTCTCTTTGATGACTTGCAGATAAGGGTGAAGAGGGACCCTGTGGGACTGCGACTGTGCTACACTACCGAACTGAGGAGAATTTCCTGCATGAATAGTGCAGTACTAGGGGTAAATAGGTTTCTACACTCGGAGAATAGAATGGCGTGCGAGAAATCCTCCGTAGGGGAGGAGACTCGGAGAGAAGAGGAGTCTTATATATAGAACAGCCAGCTTAGGTGGTCCTGGAACGTGGTACAGACGATCAGATAGATAGTAGATCACTTTCCACTTCTGCTTTTGATACATAGTATCTATGGAAGCTTAGCCAGGCACGTTGACTGTCAAGATTAGTAGTCTAGTTCATAGTTCCAAGTTTCTTGGTGACAAGTCCCTAGATAGAAGCAGTCAAAAGTGATTAAAAGACGAAGCGAGAAAGAAGTCAATGATATCATGATCCTCAGCTTGCGGCTGTCCTTGCTACGTACTTAGCTTAGTAGGGGCAGTCTAACTAACATCATGATCTACCCATACAATAATACCAGCCCAACATAACATCCATTCCATTCCACATACACCACATGACACAATCCCTCCATCCATCCTCATGACCCTATCCAATCTTCCCACTATCACCACCGCCACCACCACCACACCACCACCAGAAAGAACAACTGCTAGCCCTGGCAACGTCCCATCGCACCGTCACCTCAAAATGCTCACAAAATCCCTGACAGCACTTCTTCCTAACTACTCTACCTGATCCTCTTACTAATAACCCAAACCCACCCCTCTCTCCCCTCTCATAGGCCAACAATTCCACCCAAACATTCCATGCATGGGTCGACCCCTGTTCCTTGAAAAATCTAGACCCTAGCAAGAAAAAAAAAAAAAAAGAGAGCTGGTACGACTTACGGTGGCTACTACTCTCTTTCCGAGTCCAGCTAGCAGCTCCCGAAGCAGCATCATGCAGCAGATAAAAAAAAAAAAAAACCTACCCGCCGTCACACAACATATCGCAACATCCCATCCCATCCCATCCCATCCCATCCCATCCCATCCCATCCCATCCCGCTGTGGCTGAAAGTATGTAGTACTACTACTATTACTATCATGGTCTTAATTCACGGGTGTACTCTTTTCCATTATTGTTTTGCTCTGTTGGAGACAAGTAGGTAGGTACGTACGTGGTAGATGTAGGATGAGGCAATTACGTCAGGTGTGGTGTGTTGTCTGAGGTGGTGAAACGCTGGCTGGTGGAACCTGCTACCTACGCTGTTTACTTACCTTTCTTGGGAGGGAAGATTTTTATTTTGATTTTTATTATATTTTTATTATTTTTTTTCTTCGGTGGATTTGTTGAGTATGGATGGTTGGATAGTGGGACGGACGGGATGGGTCGAAGAAAAATCTTTCTTCTTTTTCTGGTTAGGCTAATTTAGGTTAGGTTTTGGGTATTGACCGGGTTGGTTGGTTGGTTGGCTTTATCTCGGGCTCGGTGAGTGGGTTGCGTGATGCTCTCTGTCAGTGTCTCTCGCTTTCGGGATACTACGTAGGCTGAGATGCCGGGATTGTGTGGTCGGGTTGCATTATTACTCTAGTGGTTGTTGTTATATTTTACTGTGGGAGTGCATACAATGCTCTTGTTACGTCCTGACGATGTTCCTGATGTTCTATTATCTGGGTTTACAATGTGAGCTTGAGGGTAGACAGCAAGCAACATCTCTCTCTTGCGGCATTACGGCATGCCGAACCCGACCTAACGGAGGAGAGTGAAACCTCACCGGAAGCCGAAAAGGTCATCGATTGCAGGCCGGTCAAGTTCCGACCGAATCCATGGTAAGGCAGGAAGATCTCTGATAGGCTGGGTGGTTCGAGTCAGGCTATATGAGCTCCAGCTGAAGCTGGACCTGAGCACCGACGTGCACGAGGAATTGTGGTTGGATGAAAATTTTCGCTGGTGGAGAGGATCAGCCAACGCTAAACAGAAGATCCACAGGCCCGGTGAGCTCCAAACGGGAAGGGACGAGAAGTGGTGCGTAGTTAGCGTGAGATTTCGGCACACCGAAGGCAGTTGGATGGACAGGCATCCCGAGACCGAGAGGGTCGGCGGATGGCCGAAGTGCTCGGGATGGACAACGGTGAGACTTGAAGTGGTCTCGGTGAGCAGGGTTGGCCGCTTAGGTGTCATGTACTTATCAGCGACGGTCGCTGCTTATGATGATATTGAGATTGATGGTTAAAATTTCTCCCTCTTGCATCTGTATTGTCGAAGGAGATTATACTTCCCACCCTCCTTCAAATTTCCCCCCCTTCCCTTTGCCCGCTGACGGTCGGGCAAAAAGTGAGAAAGCATGTGTTCGTGAGAGTTCGGGATCGGCCAAGAGCCAAGAGGGGATTATCCCAACGCATGCAGAGTCAAAATTAGAATTTTTTTTTTTTTAAGAAGAAATTTTCTTTCGTGGTTGGACCCACTTGGCGCCCGGTGATCTCCCTCATTTGGGCTTGAGGTTGCGTCGGAACCGGCAACTTTACTACGACTGAGCTCTTTTCTCGGTGGCTCAGGGGCTGATCTGAAGGAAGGGAGAGAAAAAAATTTTTCCTGCTGAGTTTGACAGACAGGTAATGGAAACGAAGAAGATTCCAGGAACGTAGTGGATCATTAATGAATGCTCGTCAACAATGCTTTGTTCAGCAGGCGGGCTGAGGCTCCAGGAGGGTTCTGACTAAGGTTGTTGCATGGCTGCGGGAGGCAGGGCGATAGTAATATAAGACCGCGTTAATATTATGCAGGCGTGGCTTTTCTTACTGCACCCGGCCATCACTTGAATCAAGGGAGGGTGGAGATCAGCCCATGTCGCCCCCCTCCTTCCAAACAAACAAATCATTCATTCATTTTGTCAAGATACTTCCCTTCCCTTCCATTCTGTGACACGGAATGGCCGGAGACAGCGATGTTTTAGC